TATTCCTTTTCTTTTGTATTGACTCCTTCTTGACTAGTTTCTCCAAAAAGTTTTTTAATTATTTCTGTTGAGGTTCTATGATTTTTCCCAAGGTTCTCATACTTAACTCTTGGTATTTGTCTGAACATTATCTCATAATAGAAATTCCCTTTTCCCATTTTGCTGGTGGTTTTTGTCTTAAATTTTTGTGGCTCCTTTAAATACTTTTTTTTATCTAAGGTTTCTTAATTCTGTTTGTAATTCTTTTATTACATTTCTAAATTGTATTTTTTCTTTTCTTTCTTCTGAGTATAATGAAAGGGCCTTCAAAATTAATTCGTCCTTTGAAATTCCCCCTTCCTTGTAGTTTAGTAATAGAATTAATTCCCATTTTGTTTCTTTCCTATATTCTTTGTCTAATTTTGAATATAAGCTTAACCATATACTATCTTCTTTATTTATTTGTGTTGATAACATTTTTCTTTCTTCTTCGTTCAATTTAATATGTTGTTCTTGAAGTTGGTATTCTTCATTCTCATATTTTATCCCTAAATTTTCTTTTTCTTCATGTTTTAGAAGTCTTCTTTGTAGTTTGTTATTTTCTTTTGTTAATTTCTCATTTTGATCCCTTAACTCTATTATTTCATTTTCTAGTTGTTCTTTAGTTTTTTCAACAGTAGGTAATATTCTTGCATGTTCCCAAGAAGTATTCATTTTTAGACTGTAAATTTGTTTCTTTCTTTTAAAAATTCTTCATCATCTTTGAATGTCTCCATATATTCCTTATATGTATTTTTCTGGAATTCTGCAAAGTATGCTTTTAATTCTAGATATTGATATATCTGTTCTCTTTGATTATAGCATTCTGGGCACACTTGTCCTAAGAACATATCCATATTTTTCATATATTGTTCTTCAGTTCTAAAAATCCATCTATGTTTTGTAGGGTTCAATTCTTTTTGGATTTTCCACTTTTCAGATTGTGGTTCTCTGAGTAGTACCAATCTATTTCTCATCAACTTGTACTCTTTTACCTTTAATCTTAATTGCTGTTTTTCTTCTCTTGATTGTTTTATTTCTTTTGCAAGTTTTTTGATAAGAGTGTCCTTTGAAATTCCTCCTTCTTTGTAGTTTAGTAATAAGATTAATTCCTTTCTTACTTCATTTTTATCTTTTTGTAATTGGTCATATAATCCTGGCCATATGTGTATTTCTATGTCTTTCTCTTCTTTTGATAGAATTCTTTTTCCTTCCTTTGTTAATGTGATTTCTTCTATATCTTCGTCTATTTTTATTTGATAAATATTGTCAGTTGGACTATAATCTATTCCTATATCTTCTTCCTCTTATATCCTGAATCCCCCTGTTAAAGTATTTAATTCTTTTTCTTTTGATAATTCTTCTTTTAATTTTTCATTTTGTTTTTCTGCTTTCCAGAATATTCTTTCCAATTCTTTTATTTCCTTTTGTGATTTTTCATCTAATTTTGTCAAATTTTGTTGGAGTGATTCATTTTTTTCTTTTAACTTTTTTTGTTCTTCAAGCCATTTTTTGGTTTTTTCTTTCTCTTGTTCTAACTTATCCTTTAATTGTTTTTCCTTTTCTTTACAAGTTAAGAAACTTTTTCCTAGCTTTTCAAGTTCTTCAAGTATCTCCTTTTCTTTTGTCTGTTTTTGATCATCCTTTTTCTTAAGTTTTGCTTCCAACCTTGCTATTTCTTGTTCTTTTTCTTAAATAATTTTAACAAGATCTTTGTCTTTCATTACTCGATTCATTTTTGTTATGTTATTATTTTGGTGCTGGTTGTTATTGTTGGTGGTATTTATAATTTTTTATTCTAATATTTCCATGTCGATAGTTATTCCATCTTCTTCTACTTCTCTAAATGCTTGATACCATTCTTCTATGGTTAATTCTCTTTCTTTTTCTAGTTCCCCTTGTATATTTTCTTTAGAATCATTTAGAAATTCTTGCATTATTATCATATTTTCTTCTAGTTGTCTTTTGAATATGTCTTTTTTGAAGGATTTTTTCAAAGAGATCCCTAGTATCATGATGTGTACAATCCTGAATTTTATTTTTAATTTTATTAAGAGCTTTTCCAAAAGGTTCAATCTATCCCATTTTCGGGCATCTAATAATATTCTGTTATTGATTTCTTGTATTTTATCAATTTTTCTTTTTGTGATATTGGTCATTATATGTTCACATTCTGGTCTTGCATTTTCTATTATTTCTTTAACACTATGCCCTAGGGCTAAAAGTATTTGTTAGTCCTTTTCCATAGTTTGTTTTGTTATTTTGAAGTTATTGTCATTCTAGGTTTTTCTTTGTCCTTTTTATATTTTTATGATATGGAATCTCCTTTATTTTCAAGATATTTTGATTCATACCATTCTTCTTCTTTTTCTAATATTTTCTTTTGATAGTAATTCTTAAAAAATATACTATTGTCCCTCTTCTCCATTAATTCTGCTAATTCTTTTTCAATATTTGTCATGATATCCATTCGTTCTTTTATTCTTTCTCTTAATTCTTTTAGTTCTCGTATTTTGAAATTGATTCTGTCTTTTTTACCCAAACCATACATTTTCATTATTTGAATTTCCTTAATAGTTGTCATCATTTCTCTTTTTTTATTTTTAGAGTTTTCTTTCTCCTCCTTTTATGCTTTCTATTAGATGGTTAACTTGTTGTTGGTTATAAAGTTCAACTGTTTGTCTTAATTCATTACTCAAAAGTTGATGTATTTCCTCTACTTTTTCTTTATTTTCTTTCAATTGGTTGTTGATTGCATTTGACTTTATTCCTATCTGTATCACCTCCCCTAATGCAATTATGTGCATTCTTTCAATACTTATTATTGCACAAATAAAGTGTTTTGTAGTTATATCAGATTGATTCCATCGTGAAATGAGATTTAATATATTTTTACAGAGTCTTTGCATTTCTTCAAAGGTATCATCAAATCCTTGTATTTTATCATTGTACCATTCTCTTAAACTCTTTACTTGCTCATGAATGTAAATTCCATTTTCTAATATTTTTTCAAAGTTATTTTGGTTGAC